TTTTATGGGGCCAGTGCTTCTTTTATTATCTAAAGAAATCTCTGCCTATCCCACATCTGAGAAAATATTCCCAAGTTTTCTTCCAGAAGTTTAATAGTTTTCACTTTTATGTGTAGGTTTATGATCAATTTTGAGTTAATTTTTGTATATTGTGAGGTAAGGATTGAGATTAATTTTTTTTCACATGGATTTGACTTTTTCTAGCACCGTTTCCTGAACAGATGAACTTTTTCCCACTGAATGACCCTGGCGTCTTTATCAAAATTCAGATATGTCCGAGCTCCTTTCTAGGTACTTTACCTGAGTCAACTGACTGATACATGTCTATGCTCACACTAGCACCTGTCCTGATACTCCTCCGTTATCGTAAGCCTTGAAATCAGGTAGTGTACGTCCTCCAACTGCATTCTTTACCAAAATTGATTTGGTTATTCTAGGTCCTCCACATTTTTACATGAATTTTAAAATCAGCCTTTAAAGTTCAACAAAAAACCTACTAGGATTTTTTTTATGGGGACCGGGTTGAATTTGAAGAACAATTTAGGAAGAACAGGTATCTTAACAATATTGAGTTTTTAAATATACGAACATGGAATATTCCTCCATTTATTTAAGTCTTCTTTAATTTTTGTGACACTTTATAATTTTCAGTGTATATGACGATTTGCACGTATTTTTATTAAGTGTATACTTAAGTATTTTATATTTCTGAATGTTATCGTAAATTGTTTTGGTTTTTTTTGACTAATCAAGTACAATAGTGAGGATTTCTTTTGTCGTTTTGAGACAGGATCTTGCTCTGTAGCTCAGGCTAGAGTGCAATGGTGCAATCATAGTTCACTGCAACCTCAACTTCTGGACTCAAACGATCCTCCTGCCCCAGCCTCCTGAGTAGGTAGGACTACCAGCATGTACCACCGCACCTGGCTAATTTTTTAAATTTTCTGTACAGAAGGGGTCTCGCTATGTTTCCCAGGTGGTCTTGAACTCCTGGCCTCAAGCAATCCTCCCACTCTGGCCTCCCAAAATGCTAGGATTACAGGCATGAGCCACTGCACCTGGCCTAATACCTTTTTTCATCTAATCTTTTCCTTAAGTTTACTCCATTTGATATTAATGATCACTCCAACTTTCTCAATTAGTATTTATGATAGTTTATCTTCCCCATCCTTTTATTCTTATTCTTCTCACTAAGCTTTCTTTTAAATTCTTGTACATATTTGTAATTTTTTTGTTGTTGTTATTTACTTATTAATTACAGACAGGGTCTCTACATGTTGCCCAGGCTAGAGTGCAGTGGCTATTCATTGATCGTAAGTGCACTGCAGCCTTGTACTCCTGGCCTCAAGCTATCCTCCCTCCTCAGCGTCCTGAGTAGCTGGGGCTACAGGTGTATGTCAGTGTGCCTGATTTGTAATTGTTATTTGTGAACACGTTATCGGTCGATTTTATAATCAGTCCTTTCTGGGTCTGTTTCTACTATATAGTTTTTCTTCTGGCTCTTGGTTACATTATCCTGCTTGTCTAGTAATTTTTTGTGTGTGTGAGATAAGGTCTCATTCTGTGGCTCAGACTGGAATGCAGTGATGTGATCTTATCTCACTGTAACCTCCAACTCCCAGGGTCAAGCAATCTTCCTGGGTTGGCCTCACAAGTAGCTAGGAGTATAGGTGCATGATACCATGGACTGGCTAATTTTTTAGTTTTTATTTTTGTAGAGATGGGGCTCTTGCTATGTTGCCCGGGCTGGTCTTGAACTACTGGCCTCAAATGATCTTCGCCTGCTTTGGCCTCCCAAAGTGCTAGGATTACAGGCATGAGTCAACATACCTAGCCTATCTGATAATTTTTGATTGAATGCTACATATTCTGTATGCTGTATTGTTGAGTGTCAAGATTTTGTTGTCTTCCCTTAAAGAGTGTTGAGCTTTGTTTTGGCGAGCAGTTAAGTTAACTGAGGATCAATCAGATCCTCTAAAAAGTTTTTTTAAATCTTTATTTAAGATGATTAGAGTAGGTCTGATTTAGCCCTACCACCAAGTGTGACCCTTCTGGAGTCTCTATAGAGTCCCAGGTGTTCAGTGAATTTTCTGCACTTTGGGTGGTTATTAGGCTCTGGCAATTCTTCAGCTTACTGTTTCCCAGTAATTGTTTTTTCATTAGATATTCACTGCCCAGCTTTGTGGGTTCTCAACCTGTCCATATAGTTTACTATTTGGCCAATCTATATAGATTTCTGTAGCCTTGTTTTTTGGAGTAGTTCCCTTGTTGCCAGCCACAAATTCCAGCAACTTCAGTCTCCTTGAACTCTGATCTCTTTCTGTTGTTTTTCTTTTCTTCTTCTTTTATTTTTTAATGTAGAAATGAGGTCTTGCTTTGTTGCCCCGGCAGGTTTTGAACTCCTGGCCTCAAGCAATTCTCCCACCTCAGCCTCCCTAAGTGCTGGGATTACCTAGCGAGCCACTGTACCCTGATGTCTTCCTTTTCAAATCGGCAAGAACCTTGTCATCTGCTTGGGCTCCCTCTAAGACATTTTCTGGAAAATGCCTCCAGGCAGAAAGTCAGGGTAATCATATGGCTCAATTCATTTATTTCTCAGTCTTGGGCTGCATGTCGCCCAACATTTTATCTGGTTGTTTCTATATTTTGTCCAGTTTTCTAATTATTTATGGCAGGAGAGCAGTCTCCTTGATTTTTTTTTTTTTTAAAACAAGATAGGTCTTGATTCAAACTCCTCAGCTCAAGAGATCTTCCTGCCTCAGCCATCTGAGTAGCTGAGATTACAAGTGCCTGCCATGGTGCCTGGCTGCTTCTTCGATTTAAAAAATTTGTATCTTTCTTGGTTTATACTGCATTTAAAATTAGTGTTTTTAAAGTTACTAGAACAATGTGAAAATCAGAACACTGACAACTGATTAGTTGATAATTTTAAGATATTAAGGTTTTAAAGGAGTGATGCACTTACACTAATGATCTTTATCTTTAATCAGTGCATACTAAAATACAGATTAAATAGTGTGATGTCTAGGACTTGCATTCAAAATGAGATCAAATGAGAGGGGATAAGTGGGTGGGATTATAGATGGAACAACACTGGTGATAAACTCATAATAGTTGAAGTTGGGTGATGGGTTCATTACAGTATTTGTCTGCTTCTGTATGTGTTTAAAATTCACATGTAAAAACAAAAGTCAGTAGAAGTAATTTCACTTTGTGTGGTTATAGTTCCAACTTGGAATATAATGAATCTGAGTTCATGTGTTTTGTTTTCAATTTTTAGGGACTGCTTTCCCTTCTTTTTGACTTAATTTTTGTTTTAATTATACAAAACATTTACATGGCTGTTAAAGTAAAACTAAAAACATGATACTTCAGAGTTTCCCCTTTCATCACTGTCCCTTGTGTGATCACTCCAGAATATTATATAGAGATTTTCCTCATTACTTTTAATTTAACCAGTTCTCTATTGATAGATGTTGGGTGATTTCCTATCTTTTGCTATTACAAATAATGTAGTATTTGTTATTACAAAATTGCCTTGCACATATATATTATGTTTTTGCCAATGTATCCCTGGGATAAAATAGATTCCTAGAAAAAAGTATAAATTATATGTCACTTTTTTTTTTTTCTTGAGACAGGTTCTCACTCTGTTGCCTGTGCTAGAGTGCAGTGGAGTCATCATAGTTTACTGCAACCTCAACCCCTGTGCTCAAGCAATCTGATCCTCCTGTCTCAGCCTCCCGAGTAGCTGAGACTACAGGACTGTGCCACTGCCCCTGGCCTATATGTCACTTTTCTATCCTATTCTACCAAATGGTCAAATTCTTAATCTTTGTAAGTATTCAAAGAAAACAAAAAATTAAAAGGTAATTTATCTGAAGTATATATAGTGCTACTGGTATAAAGTAACTGCAGGGGAAGGATTAATACACTGGTCTCTCAAAATTAAGGTTTCCTGTCAATCCACAGGACTACTAATTAGTAAAATTAATTAATAAACATAGTACTTATATTTTAGACATTTCTTTTATTAAATTAAAAATGTTGTGACCTCAAAGGGAATAAAATAAACAAGGTACACCTGTGCTTGAAGTGTTTTCTACTTTCCTTCATTCAAGTAATTGCAAAGATCTCATCTTTTTCACGAGGCTTTCATGAATAGGAACTCCATGAACAACCTAGGCCCCTTCCTCTGTAAACATGCTTCCTCAATGGCTTCACTGCATTTCACAATAGGCAACAATTTCCCTACATAATATTCAAATGTTATTTGATAAATGTTATTACCAATATATAATATATCCTTGTGTTAAGTGTTTCTTTCATTGCAACCTCAAACTCCTGGGCTCAAGTGATCCTCCTGCCTCAGTCTCCCGAGTAGCTGGGCCTACAGGTGCCTGCCACCATGCCCGGCTAATTTTTCTGTTTTTTGTAGAGGTGGGCTCTCCCTGTTGCTCAGGCTGGTCTTGAACTCCTGTGTTCAAGCAATCCTCCAGCCTCAGCCTCCCGGAGTGCTAGGATTACAGGCATGAGTCACCTCACCCGACCTTAATTTCTTTTATGTTGTGACTGACACAGACACAGCACATTTAGTGAACCATTTTCACTTAATAACTGTTCTCAGCATTGATTATCATAAGCTGCTTAGTCTTGTGTTTAAGACTTTTAATCTTTTTATAGAATTACCTGTTTACTGTGGCTTTTGAATGATAGCTACTAGTATTGCCATGAAATGTAAATAATAATATATATTTTAGTATCCCTACCTACTGAATACAATTTTTTACAGTTTTCACTTTAAATATCAATGATAGGATGCCAAAATAAATAAGTTTCTTATTCCATTTCTACTTCCATGTTGCTCTCTCCTTTTAAAATCTTTCCTATATAAAACCAAGATGAAATCTGCTAAATATATATAGCACTCTGTATATAAGCTAGTTATAGGCCAGACACAAGATGCTATGACTTACCCTTCTAAAACATACAATACTTACGCATCTGTAGTCTTTGTACACCCATTTAGATTCAGTACTTCAATGTTCCTACAGTTCTGTGCAAAGGTCCTTTACAGGAAAAAACAAAGCAAAAGGTTTCAAATGAAATGGGGAAAATTCTAGGCATCAAAAAAAAAAACAAACATATTATTGGTAATACTGGTTGTTGGTACCTATGATACTATAACTCAATAAGAAACATATATTTGGTCTTTGTCTCCCTCCAGTTCCTGGCACAGAGCTTCTAAAACCCTTGTAATTTCCTGAGTGAGAGGAGTAATAGTAACTATTGTTATAGTACTTGGTCTTCAATCATGCCTACATAATGGAAACACTGTAGAAACCACTAAATGTCAGGTATCAGAGAGCTTCTGGATTGGTGAACGTAACCACATGCCAGGAGGGCAGCATAACCCAACTTGAAGGGGACAGAAGCTTCTGTCCTTGAGACCCTTGTAGACCTTGCTCCATGTACCTCTTTATGTGGCTGTTCATTTGTATCCTTTATAATAAATCAGTAATAGTATTATTATATAGAAAAGCACTTTCCTGAGTGCTATGAGCCATTCCAGCAAATCGTTAAACCTGAGGAAGCAGTCATGGGAGCCCCTGACATATGGCCCATCAATATGAAGTACGTGACAATGTGGGATTTATGACTAGCATCTGTAACGGGCAACTTTGTAGGACTGAGCCTTCAGCCTATGGGGTCTGAGCTAATTCTTGGTAGGTAGAGTCAGAATTGAATTGAATTATAGAACACAGTTGGTGTCCTGAGAATGGGAGAATTGGTTATTAGGTGGAGGAAAAACCCACACATTCAGTGTTAAAAGTGCTGCGAATAAGAATGGTTCAGAAGGGTCCAATGTAGTTCATAATTATAATAAATTAGTTTTCAGCTATAAACTTTTTTTAACCAAAACTTGTAATCGCTGATCTTTGCATCAACCTAAGTTAAAATTATCCTATCTTTGAGTAAATAAAAGTTCAAAAAAGAAAATAAAACTTACTCAAAGAAACAAAGAACCATTTATGATAGGAAATTGGCTTTCTTGGGGGGACAGTACTTATTCTTGTTTATTTTTAAAATTATTCCAAATACTGGATATTTTTGTATAACAAGCAATATATATGTGTGTTTGCCTTTTTTTTTTTTTGAGATAGGGTCTCCCCCTGTCGCCTAGGCTTGAATATAGCTCAGTCCAGGGCTCAAGTGATTCTTCCACCTCAGCCTCCTGCGTAGCTAGGACTACAGGCTTGCACCACCATGAATGGCTACTTTCATTAATTTTTGGAGAGATGAGGTCTTGCTGTGTTGCCCAGGCTGGTCTTCAACTCCTGGCCTCAAGTCATCCTCCTGCCTCGACCTCCCAAAGTGCTGGAATTACAAGTGTGAGCCACCACAATCGGCCTTTTGTTTGCATTTTTTATAGCTTAGGAACTGAAAAACTACTTAAGCCTTTGCTGGGTGAGATGGTACAGGTCTTTACCTCAATCAAGAAGATTAATCAACAGTTATATTTTTACCTTAATGCATTGTCTCCTACTCCAAGACACCCACGAAGACTTAACTTTCGTAAAAAGCCACCACATCGTTTTGAAATATTCTCCACTACCCTGCCCTGAAAAGAAGAGATAGGTAAACAAAAAGATAACCCACCTCGTTGCTTTTGAAAAGAATACATTCTCATTTTTAGCAATTTTATAAACAAAGAGAAAAGGTTTCTACTAAGATATCATTAATTTAATAGGAAAATTTCAATTTACTCTGAGAAAGCTTTCCTGATTAACTCATCTACTTGAAACATTAGGAAACTCTATATTCTTATTTTGTTCAATTTGTAAGATATACTGTATTTGAGGAAATGGTGCTCCGTAGTTCTCTTATGGCACTACATGCATGTATACTGCCTACCTGGGTTAAACCACAGCTACTGAAGAACAACAACTCCATTTATTTTTGTATCCTTTCCAAAATATTAATTATAGTACTCTGCACATAGCAGGGACTCAATAAACACTTAACAAAACATTGCTGAATAATTTTGTGTGTTGTGTTGCTTTAAACATTTACATACACGAAGATTACAGAACAGTGAAAAACAAAATCCAGTATAATGTCAACGGCTATTATTTTAAAAGCACTTTCTGAAGATAATGGAAGGTTCATGTGAAACTTTTAAAAACTACTTACATGGACCCTCATGAGAATTTAGCTCTACTGGAACTTAAAAAGATTCTCATCTAATCCTTATAACACTATGAGGAAGCTATTATTTTCACTCTCCTGATGAGAAAGTTAAGGACCACAGAGTTCAAAGTTCAAAGGCAGGAAAAAATAATTTAAGCTTAAGCCATTATGCTTTTCCATTTTAGAGATAATAGGCTATACTAAGGGATAAAATATGGGGTAAAAGTCAGAGAAAAAAAATCTCTCTCTAGCAAAAGCAATTCAATTGCTGACTTTGGCTTTATTCATTTTTCATTCTCCACAAAAACTACCTGCAGTCTCTCCAAAAACCAAAATGCACATCTCATGGAGAATACATACAAGTATCATCACCCAATAAGCTTTAACTACTTGTTCTTCAATAAACAAATATAAAATGACTTCTTTAAAATTAGCAACCACAGGTTCACATTTCCACTGCAAAAACAAAAAAATTTTAGTCCTACTCCAAGACCAGAGAGTCTGTTTGGTTCATTAATACTAAATAACTTAGTATAATTTCAGTGAAATAATTCAGCCCATTCTCAATAACAGAACTTTGGCAGCTCCTGTGAAGTTCAGATGCACTGAAAATAATAGTTTCTCTCTCCAGGGAAAATGAGATTAATATTGCTGGGGCTAATCTGTTCCATGCTGTAATTACTAACAAGAGAAATGGAGCCATACACCACATAATTATACCTCAATATCCCTCTGGAAATCAAACAGATCAATTCGCTGCCAGTTACTGCCATCCAGAGCCAGAACATTCCAGGCCTATTTTGAAGAAAAAGAGACAGAATGAGAAGATGTTGAAATGAAGGGGAGAAGGCAGAAATATTCAAGTTCACAATTCAACCAACTAATGACTGAAATGGACCAAAAAATTTCTCAGTTCCTACCACTAATTTCCAAACGATGTGCCTTACTCCTGATCCGTACTTTATTCTCCAATTAGACTATCTCATAAATGAGTAGGTACAGAAACTTAGCAGCTATGAAAGATCTTAAATTAGAAGGGTTGAAGAAAGGAGAGGCTGTGATAAGTGTCGAAACCAGAAGGTGTTTTCAAACTAGAAAATTCCAGTTTCTAAACACAAAATGAGATGGAAGTTCAGCTGATGAAAAGGAAGTCTTTCCTCTATTCCTAACCTGGGAACAAGATGAGGGTGAAATGAAATAAAGGGGACAATACTCTGAATACTACTCTGTTCAATATTTATTTGCCATCCATACCATCACTTGGTAGGACTTGAAACTGTGATATGTTGATTTTGGACTTAGAAAAGACATTATCATTTCTCTTACAATTTCTCTGTAGTACTTATAGCCATTAGGCTGAAAGTTTAAAAAAGAAATTCTGGTTATACTTGAAAACCCCAGGGTAACTGTCATACAATCACCAAGAAAGATGCTAGGGGTATGAGGGTGAGCAAGCAGCTATCTTTCTAGATATGTCTAAAGTTTTCTCAGAAGTTCAATGTTACTTTCTTTTGGTGGCTTCAAATATTTCCAATGGTTTCTTAGATGACTAGCCACAGGAGGCAACAGATAAATCTTTTAAAAATTATATGTTTAATAGATTCTTGGGCTAAATATATCTCTGATTTGGCATGGTATTTCTCATTTCCTTATGCTACTTTCTCCAGCAAGCAGGAAACATGCAGAACTCAGACTAAAATTAGGAATGACAGGTTCCTCTCTAGAGTCTGCATTAAAAAAACAAAAACAAAAACAAAAAAACCTCAAGTACAGAGAACAGGACAACTACTGATGTACCAACTACCAGATTTAAGGAAAATTGGCATTGTGCCTTCCTTTCTTTAAAGTTAACACATATTAAGAAGAAAGAGGAATCTGTAAATGAAAACAATAATTAAAACTCATTCGAATCAACATTCCTGGGGACAGACTCTACAATTATTAATAAACAGGTTTAGATACTTGTCTGGGTATTTTGTTTCTTAATGATGACCTCAGCTTCATATGGATAAAGGAAGGAAAACCCACTCATTTGGAAGTATAATGGCCACATCTAGAGAGACCACAAAAGTACCAGGGACAGAAATGTCACAGAAGAAATCATCAAAGAATTATTGTGGTTCCCAAAATAGCTGATACACAAATTTTGCATGCCTTTGAGGATGAAGAAATTACTTTAAAGTTAGCAAGACAAGGCAAATTTTCTATATTGTTTCCCTTTTTTCTTTTTTCATTTCAGTGTGGTGGTGGTCGTTATGGTAGCAATTTAAAGGGACATTTGGGTCCCCCTACACAGATAAACACAATACTTTATGATACAACCATATTACATATCCAGCACCTAGGACCATATCTGGTACATAGTAGGTTCTCAATAAATATTTGTTAAATAAATGAGCAAACAAAAAGCCAATGATGGATTTATAAAAAGATGACAGTTGTAGGTACTCACTCGTTTTAGTAAGTTAATTATATATCTGCATTAAAAACGAGATTAGAAATGGTTCACAAAGTGATTTTCTTTTTTTTTTTTTAGTTATTTTTGTTTTTCTTTTCTTTTCTGATGAAGCAATTTTCCTACAGCAGAGATTCTACCCTTTATGTTAGTGCTAGCCAATAAGACTGTGATATTTTGCCATTTTGTCATAGCAATGTCGACTGACAAAAATGGATTTTTTTGTTTTTTTATTTTTTTTTTGAGATAGAGTCTCACTGTGTTGCCCGGGCTAGAGTGCCGTGGCGTCATCCTAGCTCACAGCAACCTCAAACTTCTGGGCTCAAGCAATCCTCCTGCCTCAGCCTCCCGAGTAGCTGGGACTACAGGCATGCGCCACCATGCCCGGCTAATTTTTTCTATGTATTTTTAGTTGTCTGATTAATTTCTTTCTATTTTGAGTAGAGACGGGGTCTCGCTCTTGCTCAGGCTGGTTTCGAACTCCTGAGCTCAAACAATCTGCCCGCCTCGGCCTCCCAGAGAGCTAGGATTACAGGCGTGAGCCACCGCGCCCGGCCCAAGAGAGAAAGTTTTACTCTGACCCACGCTGGAGTGCAGTGGCTCAGTCATACCTCACTGTAACCTCAAACTCCTGGGCTCAAGTGATCCTCCCACTTCAGCCTCCCAAGTAGCCAGGAGTACAGGTCTATGTCACCATGCCTTGATAAATTTTAAAGAATTTTTTGTATAGATGGAGCCTCACTACATTGCCCAGGTTGGTCTTAAAGGCCTGGCCACGAGTGATCTTCCTGCCTTGGCCTTCCAAAGCCCTGGGATTACAGGTGTGAGTCACCCTGTCCAGCCTAAAAAGTGGATGGTTAGTGTAATATAGAAACTGACTTTGGAAATGAAATCTGGTTTACTCTGTGACTTTTTTGAAAAAAATTATAGCTACCATCCTTTGAAGAAAGAGTATGAGGAAATAACATGAGAATTAAACTCTCAAAAGCCCTTCTTATATTTATGTGTTTGTGTGTGTGCTTGTATAAAACGAACTAGGAAAACATAATGAAACATGATTTCATTACAATTTTGAGTCAACAACCTTCTAATATTCATGTTTAATGCTTTCTCATTGAAAATGTTTCCTGTTTATATTATGCAAATAAGAGTTACAAAAAGTTAGAGACAGTATATTTACAGAATCCCATCATATAATTACATGGTTTTGGGTATGCCATCGGTGAAATAACATCCTTTGAAACATGACAACGTACAAGTAACACCTAAAATAAATGGTTAGCCTACTGACGAGGCTGTCATCAGTAAGAGGACAGGTGCCCGTACCACGTAAACCATTCTTACCCTGGAGACCTGAGCACAGCGACACAAGGTAACGACATCCAAAAAAGAAAATATCCTAAAAGGAAAAGAGAGGGAGAGAAATCTTATTGTATGATAGTTTCCCTTGATTTTAGCCTACAATAACTATGTACACACATACACACAAAGGCAGAACTTCTTTTAAATAAACACAAAAAGCTTGAGCAATTTACAAAGATAATTACTGCCCAAATAAAACATCATGGGAGAAAGTAATCTTTTATTTGATAATATAAATGTTATAGAAGTTCAATTACTTGCATCGAGATGATAAATGATTTCTCAAAAAATTAAAAATTATAAATATGTGTTTGTAGGATAAATCAGAAGAAAATGATATTGATATCTCTATGTGATAGATCAGAATAATAAACTACATTATCCTTAACACCTTCCTGCTTTTCATCTTCTTCAGGCCAAGTATCTTAGACGGTGTATACAGTGGTCACTTTCTTTACCCCTTTACGTAATTTTTTCTTTCTTTTTTTTTTTTTTTTTAAATACAGGGGCTCACTCTGCTGCCCAGGCTGGAGTACAGTGATGTGATCATAGCTCACTGTAACCTCAAACTCCTGGGTTCAACTGATCTTCCATATCAGCCTCCCAAGTAGCTGGGTCTACAGGCGTACATCACCACACTCAGCTAATTTTTATTTTTTGTGGAGAGGAGGTGAGCCCTCGCTATGTTGCCCAGTCTGGTCTCTAATTCCTGGGCTCAAGTGATCCTTCTGCCTCGGCCTCCCAAAGTGCTGGGATTACGTGTGTGAGATACCACGCATGGCCCATACTTGATTATAATGTGAACACAAAGAGCACATTATCCATATTATTACTAAGTGAATCAGAGCTGGCAAACAATGTATGAAAAATCACATAATCTTCAACCTCTTAAACTGGGGCTGTGTTTTGCTCCCTCTTTACTTCTTTTTTCTAACCACCCTCATAACCTCACTCCAGTTAAGAAGCTTATGTTTATCATCTTTATTGTTATCTCCCCCATTACAATGTAAACTGTTCACTGGTGTAGAACACTCAATTCATTAGCAGGCACTCAATTCATTAGTTGAATTAAACAAATCTTTATAAACCACCATGGAAAAGGCTAGCCTTATTTATTTCATGGAACCAGGATAAATCATTGAGGAGAGTCAGTGCCAAGACTAAAATTCAAGTCACTGACAGCACTCTATGGAAAATATATACATTCCTGTAATAGAGGTCTTCTCAAGGAATAGTTAAAATATATCATCCCTTAATTTGTGGGTATAAGAGAGTCTAACTGTTACACAGGTCAGTCTGAAGCACGTTACTAACCTGGTGACTGACTGTGCCACAAGGGCCATAGCCAGTGAACAAGGTCAGCAGTTACTTTTCGAGGACCCTAGCACACTAAGGTAATAGCCGATAACCAAGCATGGCTCTAGCCTTGATTCCTCTTTACTTACTTACTCTCACTTATTTTTTGTAGAGACAGGGTCTCACTATGTTGCTCAAGCTGGTCTCAAACTCCTGGCTTCAATAAATCCTCCCACCTCGGCCTCCCAAAGTGCTGGGATTACAGGCACGAGCCACTGTGCCCGGCCACCGGGCCCTTGCCTCCCCCTTTACTTTTTTAAAACTTGAATTTCAATGTGAAACTCCTCTTAAATAATCTGGATGCACACTCTTGGCCATAAAGAATGGAAAAATAATTATCCTAAATGTTTTCTGAAAAGATATCACTGTCAAAAATCTGAAGAGGCCACAGTAGATAACTGGTCTTGTTATATAGCTATTTTCAGTTAACTATTCTTTTTATTTTTTTTTTGGAGACAGGGTCTTACTCTGTCACCCCAGGTAGAGTACAATCTCCAGGGCTCAAGTGATCCTCCTGCTTCAGCCTCCCAGTAGCTAGGCCTATAGGCTCGTGCTACCACACCTGGCTACTTTTTCTATTTTTTTGTAGAGACAGGGTCTCGTTCTTGCTCAGGCTGATCTCCAACTCCTTACCTCAAGTGATCCTCCCACTTAGGCCTTCCAGAGTGCTAGGATTACAGGCGTGATACCACCAGTAGAAATCACCACACAAACCTAATCACCTCATATCTTATAACCCCATGGAACACATAAATCATTTTGTTCCAGCTGTATAGCTAACAACTAATATTATTAGACTGTTTACTTTTCATCAAAGGATGACAAAACTACCATTAATACTTGTTCACCTGATTAAAAGTATAGGAATCAGGCAGGTGTGATAGATAGCTCAGGCCTACAATCTGAGCACCTTGGGAGGCCAAGGTGGGATGACAGCTTGAGGCCAGGAGTTGGAGAAAAGCCTGAGCAACACAGCGAGACTCCATCTCTACAGAAAATTTAAAAAATTATCTGGGCGTGGTGGCATGTGCCTGCAGTCCTAGCTACTCTGGGAGGATTGCTGGGGCCCAAGTGCTTGAGGTTACAATGAGCTATGATCACACCACAGCACTGCAGCCTGGGTGACAGAGCAAGAGCCTCTCTTAAAACAAACAACAAGGGCCAGGCGCAGTGGCTCATGCCTGTAATCCTAGCACTCTGGGAGGCTGAGGCGGGCGGATTGTTTGAGCTCAGGAGTTCGAAACCAGCCTGAGCAAGAGCGAGACCCCATCTCTACTAAAAATAGAAAGAAATTAGCTGGACAACTAAAAATATATAGAAAAAATTAGCCAGGCATGGTGGCGCATGCCTGTAGTCCCAGCTACTCGGGAGGCTGAGGCAGAAGGATCGCTTGAGCCCAGGAGTTTGAGGTTGCTGTGAGCTAGGATGACGCCACGGCACTCTAGCCGGGGCAACACAGTGAGACTCTGTCTCAAAAAAAAAAAAAACAAAAAAAATAGTATAAGAATCAATCTTCAATTAACAACTAAGAATATTTCTACTCAAGGACCTCATAAGAAAAACATCTGCTACGATTTGAATGTTTTTCCCCTCCAAAACTCATACTGAAATTTAATTACCATTGTAACGGTATTAGAGATAGGACATTTAAGAAGCGATTAGGCCATGAGGCAAATGGATTAATGTCATTATCACAGAAGAGAGTTTCTTATAAAAGGAAGAGTAGCGTCCTTGTTTCTCTTTGCCTTCTACCATGTTATGATGCAGCGAGAAGGCCCTTGCCAGATGCCAGCACCTTGATTTTTGACTTCCCGGCCTCCAGAACTATGAGAAATAAATTTCTGTTCAGTATACATTACCCAGTCTCAGATATTTTGTTACAGCAGCACAACAGGACTAAGACAATAGTCCTTATCCTACCTAATCCTGTTAAAAGTCAAGCTTAGAGAAATATTTATGGAAGACTGAAGAATATTCAGGATTCCTTTAAGTGTGTTACATTCTATGTGTAGTTGGCACTGTGACTGAAACATTCCAACATCCAGGTCATCCCAGTTGATTAGTCTAAGCGTGTTACAGTGATTGGTTCAGGCCTAGGTCAACTGGGCTGAGGTCTGAGAAGAGGCTTTACTGGGGCATGGATGCTAGTCCATCTCCTCACTCAGAATTAACAAAGAAACACGTTAATCCATTATTTGCTGGCATCCATCCTGTGCCCATAAGAAAAAGCAACTGTAGGACCAAGGGGATGCAGTTCATGGCAGAACACAGAAAACTGCTGGTGACATTGCAGATCCCCTAAATCAATGAACCTGATGGCCTGGCTTACCCCTGTATTTCCTTTTATGTGAGATAATCTCACTTACTGTTTTTTTTTTTTTCCTAAGTTGAAAAACAAGTCTTTATTGTCTAGAAATATATATTTTTAAAAATCTCCCAGAAAATATGCTGTTCTCTCATTTCCCCATCTTTTTCAACACCTCTGATATAAAAAGACATTATTATACCTTATTAAAACTTCACCCAGATGTCCAGACCATGCCCCATCTATGTATTCCTCTATATTTGTAAGCTGCATGTTCACATAGACATCTACAGATACCAGGTAGCTCCCGTACTCCATTTTCCACTTAAGTTTTACCATCACTGGCTTTCCTGTTAATCCACTGAGGAAAGGTTTGGGATTGAGGGGTAAACTCATCCTAACTATGGGTGAATGCTGCAGGCTACTCACCACCAAACAAGCGTGCCTGTGCCTCACGAATGCATTAGCTACCTCAGGTCTCAAACTTTAAGAAAAATGCTCACTTACTGTTGAAGTCAATTTGAGTTGGAGTTTTTATTTACTTGCAGTTGAAAGCAACTTGGGATCAACTGGACTGTCAGAAGCCCACATTTTTAGATCCTATTATTTTGTTCTTAATCGTTATAAACGATGCTACAAGATGTGATCCTACAAAATCTGTGGTTAAATTTGTTGTGGAAATTTATCCGCCAAATCTAAGTAGACTCCCAATTTGAAAATTTTCTCCTAGAAGTTAGTGCTAGGAAGAGCTGTTTCCATGGAGTGATACGTATATTTCCTCTTTTCTGTTAATAATGATATTTCATTTACGCCACTAAGAAGTTTGTTTTTTTTTTTTTTTGAGACAGAGTCTCGCTCTGTTGCCCGGGCTAGAGTGCCGTGGCATCAGCCTAGCTCACAGCAACCTCAAACTCCCGGGCTTAAGCGATCCTTCTGCCTCAGCCTCCCGAGTAGTTGGGACTACAGGCATGCGCCACCATGCCCGGCAAATTTTTTCTATATATATTTTTAGTTGTCCAGATAATTTCTTTCTATTTTTAGTAGAGACGGGGTCTTGCTCTTGTTCAGGCTGGTCTCAAACTCCTGACCGTGAGCAATCCTCCCGCCTCCGCCTCCCAGAGTGCTAGGATTACAGGCGCGAGCCACCACGCCCGGCCCCACTAAGAAGTTTAAAGCTAAATTTGAGACCCCTCTATAGCGACCATGTAGGCTAACATAAGGGTGCACCTATTGCCTTTCTGGCTTTGATTTACTACTTTTCTTTACATTTTTCCTGGTCCTGATTATTTATTTCTATTTATTATATTTGTTCCTAATGTATATTTGTTCCTGTTCTCCTTGAAAATCTTGGAGACAAATTAAATTAGCAAATAAAA